GAGGATCGCAGAGATGTTAAAAATTTCTCTGAATTCTAGAACCAGGGCAATGTGTTGATTTGAAGAAAGCTGTAATCGTCCCTTCTAATTTGAAGAGCATGTTCTCAGTGAAATAAAGTGTGGCTTTCAGAATAGCAAGGGCTCTGAGCCCGCTCAAATGTACCCTTGTTCCGACCACTCCCCTCTCAAATTGGCCCCATTCTTTCAAACAGGTCATACTGAACTAAAAAGGAAAAAGGCCCAAATCATTTCTTCCAGATTTGGGAGAGAAATTATTTTAACTGCCAAGTTCTGATAAAGATTACTTTTGGCTTTATGCCACTTGTTCACTACACATAATCCATTGGATAGGTTCAATTCTGGGGTCTCTTCAAAGAGAACGGTAATTAAAAATTTAACAGGAACAAATTAGCTCTTTGCCTATCTGAGAGAGAGAAGTCAAAAAGCTTACCTCTAGGAGTATTCGGGGACTTCAACATCCAGAGGATGGTTCCTTTAGCAGCCAAGGAGGCTTGCTGGAAAGAAAGCCTGGGAGAGTGAGCCAGCCTTGGTGACTTAAAGACATAATAAGTTAGCAAGTTGGATAGCATAATGGTTTAGGAAATTCTTCCTTCAAGGGCCATTATCTAGTGTTAATAGTGCTTTATTTCTTCCTCTCCTGTACTTATTTACAGCATAATGACAAGAGTAAGAAAAGGGGAAGAAGCTGGGCATCAAGATAATCATATGCCAGATTAATGCAGCTGACTAGAAGCTCTGGCCTTTGGGGCTCATTTATCAATTAGGTCTGTTTCAGTCTGAGCTCCTGGATTTCCCCCAAAGAATGGAGATTCTTTGCTTTCACTCATACACCTGCTCTGAAGAAAATCATTTGAGGTCAAAACACTTTCCAGAAAGGAATGGATCTCTCTTACTCTACTCAGCATGATGATATAATACACAGCAACACCTCACGAATTCTGGAAGCTTTTCACGGACACAAATAGCATTTCTCCCTGCCTGCCTGCCTTCCTCGCCTCTTTTCTGACTTTTTTTCTGAATACCTTCCTTCCCTCCACCCATCCTTCCTCTCCTTTCTTTCTCTTTGTCTGTTTTTCCTGACTCACCTCTCCTTTAGCTAACAATGTTTGTTTATTTTGTTGTTGCCTGCTTTAACTTCACATTTCTAAAGTTATTTTGATGACTTCTATTTTTAAATCACTTTCACAGTCCCACATATTCTGTGAATATTCAGAATTGACTCTGAATGATAGAAGTGCAGATACCTTGAGATGAGATGGGAGAATTGTCCTTACTCTCCAGAAACCAAACCAGTATCTTAGGAACTAATGGTTAGGAAATTGTGCCATTGTATTGGCTAATCCTTCTCAGCTAGTATGAATTTTTAAAGGAGTTAGAGGAAAGAGAAGGTGGCAAAAGAAAAAGACTGCAGAAAACTGTGACACTTTTTCTTTCTTTTTTTCTTTGTTTTAAACTGAAAATAAGTAAAATGTTGTGCTCCCCTTCCTAGTTGTGTTTCTTTCTGCTTCTACCTGGCAAAGTAGATATTATAAGTTGAATTACATCCTGCAAAAAATACACATGGAAGTTTTTCTTCAATACCTTGGAAAGAGACCTTATTTAGGAATAGGGTCTTTACAGAGACAGTCAAGTTAAAATGAGATTATTAAAATGGATCCTAATTCTACATGGCTATTTCCTTTTTATAAAAAAGAAATTCTGGGCACAGAAGATACACACACACACACACACACACACACACACACACACACGCACAGCACCGCATGCAGACAAAGCTGAGATCAAGATGGCACACCTACAAACCAAGGAACTCCCGAAGTTGCCAGTGAACCACCAGAAGGTAGGATGGGGACAGCAGATTCTTTCTCACGGTTATAAGCAGGAGCCACCCTGCCAAAATATCACAACTGTAGCCTTCAGAATTCTGAAACAACAATTTAATTTATTAAGCTACCCGGTTTCTGTCACCTATAGTATCCCTAGCAACGTAAAATGTATTGCTACCTGACACTGTTTCTGCATGTGTGTATTATCTTACTATGTATATTCTACCTTCCTTTCTTAGAACAAAAGCTTCCACATTTCCCAGCTCAGTGCATATCATCTAGCAGGTGTTCCAGTGTATCTTTGATGAATGAATAGCGTACATATGAAAAGACAAGGAAAGTCAAAATGTAAGAGGTATTCTGTGAGAAACCAGAGGGTGGAAACAGCCATTTGGTAAAGTCCCTGCAACTTTGTCATGGGTGAAGGAAGTGGAAATGATCCCCAAGCCAACTCAGTTTAAGTGGCAACCAAGACAGGAAATCAGTGTTGACTTGAATCTGCCTGTGTTAGTTAGTGTCCCCGAAAGACACAGAACCAAATATTAGAAAGAGATTTATTGTAAGAGATCAGCTTGTGAGATTCTGTAGGCTGAGAATCTCTGTGATCTGCTATTGCAGGCAGGAAAGCTGGTGGTGCTGTAAAATCCAAATTCAAAGACCTGAGAGTCAGGGGAGCCAAAATTGTAAATCCCAGTCTGAGTCCTGGGGCATCCAAGGGCAGAGAATGGATGTCTCTACTCAAGTGGGAGAGCAAATTGGCCCTTCTTCCACTTTTTTATTCCACTGAAGCTCTGAATGGATTGGATGCTGTCCACTGCATTGGTGAGGGAGACCTTCTTTACCCAGCCAAACAATTCAAATAATAATCCCATCCAGAAAATTCTCACAAACACAAGGAAAAATAATGTTTTCTTAGCTGTCTGGGCATCCTTTAGCCCAATGGAGTTGATACATAAAATTCTATAACTTTCTATAACTTGAAGGAGAAAAGTACCCAACCATGCACAGTTCACAAGAGACACTACCCATTTGTTCCTAGGCCTTACTTTTGCCTAGACCAAAGGAGAACTTCAGTAAGATTAAGCAGGTATAAATAAATTATTCAAACTAATAGACAGGCAACCATGCAGTTTCCAAGGGAAACATGTTTTTAACTTGAAAATTCTGCCCCATTAACTTCCTGAAAGGTGAAGGTGGATATTTACTAGAAAGCTCCTTGAATGAGGTCATCTTCAATATAGTAAGGCCCCTGAGGGGACAAAAATCTTTCAAGTGTTCTATTGAATGTTCCTATGTGGAGGGATTTGCATTTAGTGGATGACAAGTTAATGTGTCATCAGTGTCTTGTGGTTGTGGCAAAGCTGCTAAAAGGAATGACAAATGTTATATGTGTAACTTTCTATTTCACTGATACAGTAACTTGTCTGTTAAACAGGATTTTTTTTTAATCTTGAAAAACTGAAAGAATCTGCCAGAGGATGCTGCTTGGTGACACTCAGTGTATTTCTCAGGACTTCTTGGGTGACTTTTTGGGGGCAGTTATTTTTGCTTTCCAGTGGGCTTTGGCTTTAAGTTTTCCAGGGAAAGAGATTTCCCTAGCAGAAAAATCCATATTGTGTACTCATGAATGAAAACGCTGACAGCAATGTTACTTATTTAGAAGAATTGAGCAATCCAAGTGCTCATAACTCAATACCATGAATTAATGAATTATCATAACCCTCTTGTCCCTATTAGGTCCTGCTCTTTGCATCCTAAACCTATATAGAACACTTTCCCCAGAAACTCACATCAACTGGCAGTGGGTGCTAATACACTACTATATTTGGAGTAAAACAACTGTTATTTTGCTCTTATTTTATACTTCAGGCTGCTGAAACAGAGAAAATCCAAAACACAAAGGTAGGAATTCCTAGAGTAAACCAGAGTATGTTGCTTTATTACCAAATTTTCATGCAACATATGAAATTAAGCTTTAGAGTTCAATGCATCATGTAACTCTTTATTGTCTTTAGTTATATTATACTTCCTGCTCAAAGGTACATTTCTGTATTTGTTTGACTACCTGATAAATTTTTGTTATCAACAAAAAGGTCATTTTTTAGCAAAGCAGGTGATGAGTCCACATTATCCTTGGCTGATTATTCTTCAGATTCTATGCTTGCTCCTTTTCAGATTCTCAATTTTTTTAAACAGAGGACTTAGTAAATACTAATTTGCATTTAGCATTGACTAAGATGTAATGCCCTGCCTATTTTTATTCTCGTGTCTGAAGAAAAGAGGAAAATAGGTGAATAGAAATATATTCTTTGAGTCTGTGTGTATATGCTTTAGAACGTCAGAGAAAGGGACCCACAAAGTATTTAAAAGCTTCTTCAACCATTGCAGCTACCCAAACCACTTCCAGTATCTTCAAGCTTCAATATGCTTTGTGCGAATCATCATTTTTATAATAAAAAATCTCTATAGAATTGGTATAGCGCAGTGTGTAGCAAGGCAGAATAAGCTAGAAAGAAAATGAAAACAATGGACACGCATCCAGAAAAATAAATACATGGGTAACTGGGAGTATAGAAGCCAGAGATGCTCCTTGCGTGGACTAGGGTGATTCACTCATCCAAGATGGCCTTTATTGTCCCGACAGGCTTGAGGAATCTGGGAAGTGACCATTTACCTGGTCACCTAATGGCTACATGACCTTGAACAAGTTACTAATACAACTGATCTCATCTTTAAAATGGAGAAAACTGTACCTCTTGGGTAGACCAGAAGGACTGGAGTCCTATAAACTAGAAAAGCATAGAAAAAGCACATGCCACAGTGCCTACTCTACTCTATGCCTTTTTTTTTTTGGTACCGGGGATTGAACTTGGGTCCTTGCACTTGCAAGGCAGGCCACCGAACCGCTGAGCTAACTCCCCAGCCCTATGCCTTTTAAAATGAGACAACAATAATAGCAACAAGAAGTATTATGTTAATTCATTGTCAGGGGAAGAATATTCATTTTTCTGTGGAAAAAAATTCACAAATATATAAACTTTCTTCATACTCTTACTTATTTTTCCTTTTTTTTTTTTTTTTTTTTTTTTTTTTTTTTTTTTTTTTTTTTTTTTTTTTTTTTTTTTTTTGTCTTGCTCTTTCCAAATCTCCCAGGTACCTATATCTATGTAGTTCCTTCCCCTAGAAAATCCCTCAGAAAGTTGTCAGACAAAACAAATTCTCACTCTAGTTCGTGGAGCTATGGGGGAAAAGCTTTGATATGGAAGGATGACTGCTATTGAAATCAGTGCACAAGACTTGAGGATGGTAAAAATCTTCCCTCGCTTCCTACCCTGGTGAGTTCCATAGCCCCTTGTCTCACCACTCCCTTTCCGTGTCACTTGGTCCTCTGCCTTTGCCCAAACTTCCCAGTGCTGGAGTTCACCCTCCTCTCTCTGTAGGACTTTGCCTCAAATGCCCAACGCCCGCCAGGAAAATTCCTAGTTGCCTGTGAAGACTCGCTTAGCTCGCCCCACCTGAACTTTCCACAACATCCTCCCCAGGGATCCCTTACTGCTGATTCCAACACAGAGCAGAGTGTGGGATCCTCATTGCAGTTTATGTGAACGGCGGCCGCGGAAACTGTGTTTGGCGTAGTCCGCAGGCCGTTCCTAGTGCGTCTGCCTCCGCTCTGCTTCGCCTGTGTGTTCCAGTACCTTCAGGATGAAATTTCTTTAATCGTTTACTTGAAATCTAGACAAAGAGTTCCTTGAGGCAGGACATTGAGCTCCATTGCTCTTTTCCCAATTCCCCACACATAATAGCCCCTCAATAAATACTTGATTAATTGGTGGATTAACAGATAAATGAATTCACAAATGAATAAATAAATTCAAGAGTTAGCCAGAGGCCTAACTACCGACATGGAGGATAGTCACGACTCTGTAGGCACAGGAAAGGGACAATGAAAAGCACATCAAAATATAAAGTAGAAATCTCTATTTCTGTTATGAAAGATTATTTTTCATATAATGGCTTTTATATTTTCTTTATTAATATCTACTTGCATTACATTAAAATTAAAAATTTTAAAAATATGTAAAACAGAACGATCCTCCCTTAATAACCCAATTAATGTCTCTTGAAGATGACTTGGCAAGAGCCTGCTTCAGGTGAGGCTGTTTCAGAGTCCTCTGAGATCTTAATAACAGGTGGCTCACAGTTTATTAGGAAAGTATGCTAAGCAACAAAAGCAGTAAGATGGTAGAAGTAGGGTTATGAGAATTAGACACATAGCCGAGACAAAGTAGGGAAGAAACTTTATTTCCTACTACAATTTGTGGCTTCCTCACAATTCTGAATTTAAACGGAGTCAAAGTTTGTGTACCTAGGTTGAGAAGCCCTTTTCTAAATTCTCCACTTAGTTTTTCTTATAGTCTGAAGTTGCAAAGCATCCTTCTTTGCTTGAAGCCATTCATCATGTCCTTTTTATCAGCTTTAGTGCACCTTACAGTGGAAGGACAAGAATCCTGCATCATATGTTTAGAGAGTATTTACTATGGGCTGGATGAAGGCCTGACTATGCTTAAGGTCATGTGGCTTGAAGCCACTCTAATATTCCCTTAGCACGATAAGCACTCAGCTATTGCCAGTCTCATATGGATCACACATCCACTGTTAGCTGTTAGCTCAGACAAGAGTATATGTTTTGTCTCTGCTGTTGCCCATCATGTCTTTTCATTTTCTTATGATGACAGTACTTATAAACATGATTCCCAATCTATATCCCAGTTTAATTCCTTCAACACAGTCTGTATATTTAAGCATCCAGTTTTCTTTAAACCAGACTTTGTTAAAATTGCTATCATCTACTGCCTCTGCCTTACACGACTACTACTTCTGTTCTAAGAAGAAAATACAATTATTTACTCAAATGGCTTTTATGACCTGATATAAATATATACATACATATTTAGTGCACATTTGCAGTACATAATGGGTCACTTCATCACAGGGAGTTGGGAGTTGGTATGAGGACATCACACATTTTGCAGCATCATTTAGACCAACTCCAGGATGAATACCTCCAACTATTTGAAAGGGGTGTGTGTGTGTGTGTGTGTGTGTGTGTGTGTGTGTGTGTGCAACAGTTTCCAGGCATGAGAGATAAGACAACCTCTGCATAAAGCTTCATAGAAAGAAGAATTATGAAATAAGCGCTGTGGAAGCCAAGTAAAGAAAAAGTGAAGCATAGTTCCTTCCAAGTCTAAGCCAAGAGAGATACAGCATTAGCAGATATTTTCCTGCGGTGATCGACACAATCTCAAATATAGAGCTAGAGAAAGCAAAGAGAGGTTGAGAATTGATTCAGAGTCAAGCAAACAAAAACTCAAAGTTGGAAAAATAGAAAAAAGATCTAAGACCATGATCTCTTGTTTGAAAGAAGATGTTAGTGCTAGAAAATACATAACTGGAATAATGTGCTTTTGTGAACAAGAGAATGCTTTTTGAAAAATTACCAATGCTCACTTTTTTATATTCATCTAGAGTTTACAGTCAATATATTTACTGGGTAGAGATGTACGTAAACAACTTCTGTCAAGGGGAGAAGAAGAAGGGAGGTCCTTATGTCAGGAAGTTTTCAGGATTTATGGGAATGAATGTCGTGTTTATGTTAACCATCCTGGGTAATTCTTATACCCCTGTTATGTTCAGTGGAGGACATAAAAATGACTAAATAAATCTGAACAAAAACTGTACTTTATTGGTTTTGCAGAGTTAAGAGGAAGATTTATGAGGCATGGAACCTTCCATCAAGAGTGGAAGAAAGTAGAGTGAATTCAGCGACACCAGGCTGCCACTGAGGCCCACAAACAGTCCCCAGCTCACTCTGCAGAACTTTGAAATTTATCAGTAATATGCTGCTCTCGAAAAATGAAAAGAAACTAGTGCCAAGAAGGCATATTCTTCAATACTTGGAGTAGACGTGCTCTCAAGACAATGGCTTCAAAGGTCTCCTGCTTATACGTGTTGACCGTTGTATGCTGGGCCAGCGCTCTCTGGTATCTGAGTATAACTCGTCCCACTTCTTCCTACACTGGATCCAAGCCCTTCAGCCATCTAACGGTTGCGAGGAAAAACTTCACCTTTGGCAACATAAGAACTCGACCTATAAACCCACATTCTTTTGAATTTCTTATAAACGAGCCCAACAAATGTGAGAAAAACATTCCCTTCCTCGTTATCCTCATCAGCACCACCCACAAGGAGTTCGATGCCCGCCAGGCTATCCGGGAGACATGGGGGGATGAGAACAACTTTAAAGGGATCAAGATAGCCACTCTCTTCCTCCTGGGCAAGAACGCAGATCCTGTGCTGAATCAGATGGTTGAGCAAGAAAGCCAGATCTTCCATGACATCATCGTGGAGGACTTCGTCGATTCCTACCACAACCTCACCCTCAAAACATTAATGGGGATGAGATGGGTGGCCACTTTTTGTTCAAAGGCCAAATATGTCATGAAAACAGACAGTGACATTTTTGTAAACATGGACAACCTTATTTATAAACTCCTGAAACCCTCCACCAAGCCCAGAAGAAGGTATTTTACTGGCTATGTCATCAATGGGGGGCCAATCCGGGATGTTCGCAGTAAGTGGTACATGCCCAGGGATTTGTACCCTGACAGCAACTACCCGCCCTTCTGTTCAGGGACCGGCTATATCTTCTCAGCCGATGTGGCTGAACTCATTTATAAGACCTCACTCCACACAAGGCTGCTTCACCTTGAAGATGTATACGTGGGGCTGTGTCTTCGAAAGCTGGGCATACACCCTTTCCAGAACAGTGGCTTCAATCACTGGAAAATGGCCTACAGTTTGTGTAGGTACCGCCGCGTTATCACTGTGCACCAGATCTCTCCAGAAGAAATGCACAGAATCTGGAATGACATGTCAAGCAAGAAACATCTCAGATGCTAAAACTTTTACCAATGTAAATATGTGGGTTTTTTTCTTTTTTAAGAAATGGGGCCTAAGGTGTTGGTATTTTACAGGGGTCACCAGGGGAAATGAACTGATGAAGGGGATTTGTAAAGTTTTTGCTTTCTGCTCCTACTTCCTTTCTTGGATTACCAATTTACAAAAGCCAAGCTCTGGTCATACACACAGCAGTGAGAGAGAAGGGCCAGATTTCATTCTCAGTTCCTGAGACATTGTCATGTATCTCCAAAAGGGACTTCCAAACAACTCCTGGGATTTGTGCACTGTGCATCTGAGTTAAAAGTCTGATTCTGGGAAGCGGAAACTCACAGTTTTGTCTTCATATCATCTCTGCAAAAATACATAAATAAATAAGTAAACAACTTTTTAAAAAAACAATTCAGAAATGATGCACAGTCAGGAAGACACACTGGATGTGATTATCAATACTGTGTGTGTTATTGCTACATTGAATTTTTACATATATTGTCATGTAATGTGTACAGTATTTGTAATTCCAATGAGAAGGGAACTTAGTCCTGGCAGGGAGGCTGCAGAGAAATAGATGGGAATTTAAACTTGAGAATCAAATATTCTGTATGTTGGAAAGCTAACTCTGCTTGCTCATCCAAGGATTAAACCTGGTCAGTAGGTGGAATGTATATAAAATACTACTTAAAGTAAACAAAGTGATTTTTTTTGCTCTTTCAAAACAAACATTACATTACATGGTGCCTCCGAGGAGATTTTGCCAAATGTAGTAATATCACTTGCTTCCTTCCATGTAATGCTAAGTGCATTTCAGTTTCTGGATCAAGCAGACACATGTCTCCATAAGTAAACAAGTTGGCAGGAAGCCAGTGAATCACATTAAGAGAATACAAAGTTATAAATATGGATTATAATTAACATAAGCTTAGCAATAGTATAATATGCCTCTCCCACACATTTGCAAAGCCTGTGAGTAAATCATTACGGGGCATCAGTATTTCTAAAAAATTTGGTCCTCCTACTGATAGATGGAGTATTGTTTAACATCTGCAAAGCCCAAGCACCTTTGGAAATAGCTGTGTGAGGGGCTCTGGGTGACCTGTGACCAAAGTTCCTGAGAAGGAAAGGTGAAGAAGATTGGATTCTGATCCTATTCATGCTACCAAATGTATTGGACCATGTGAGCAGGCCACTGAAATCTACTGTATTTCAATATGCTCACTTGTAAAATGGCTGTAAAAACAAACAAACAAACAAAAACACCTACCTCACAGGTGCTGTGAGAGCAAATCGCATTTGCTAAGTATTTTTGAGATCCTTAGTATATAAGGTGCTACATAATATGATGCATCATGCATTATGCTAAATGCTAAAATGATTAGGATAATTATAATGATGGTCCTGAGTAGTACTAAAATCATCTTACCATAAAATATACCAAAATAAAGATCAACTATGAGCTATCAGTATAGCTGATTCTGCCAAGATGTTAATTTTTTTCCTTGACTATAAATCAGTTGTTTGGGGGGGATTCCATTTCTCTGCCATTTTTTCTATGTTCAATGAGTAAAGTATTACTTCTGTGTGTTGCCTTGATAGCCCAAGGTGCTGAAAGAAAGCCTGCAGCCTTTCTTTGGGGAAGAGCTTTGTAAAATGCATAAAGACCACTTATATCTCAGGAAACATTTGACCTGAGTCCTCTTTAAGAACTATGAGGACAGGCAGAGTGAGTCCATCTCTATCAGAAGAAGTGTAGGCCCTCAGCAGATCTGCACACTGCTCTCCCACCATTCTTTAGAAAACTCATCATTCCCATTCAACAAAAGCCCCACCTCTAAAAAAATACACTTAGTTGTTTATTGCTTTTTAACCTGATCTTTGGAAGGTCCCATAGAAGTTGATATCAAACAGGTAGACAAATGGATTTCATGGCCTAGTTCTTGAAAAGATTGGATATCTCATCCTTAGTCCAAAGTACCCAATATGAGACAGGAGCTCCTGTCCTTTAATACATCTTCATTGTATGGTCATCAGGACTAACGATTTTGATGACAAAACACTGTTAGGTACCTGGGGAGAGATGGCACAGCTCAAGGTGAGCCACATCCAAACCCCTACCCTGTAATCTCAAGTGCTGTGAGTTATAATCACTGGAAAAGTCTCACAGCTTCATAGTTGGTTTGCCTCCCCACTGGGCAGTGGAATCAAGTCTCTGTCTCATACTACTGCCTTGCATCTACTCTATGCTCAGTCACATCACCTTTAGTAACAAGTAACTGAACATTGTAAACATCGTGTATGTACATCTATGAACTGTTTTATATGTGTCGATATAGAGTCTGAATAGACCCCCCAATCTTGAAAAGGAGCAAACATCAGAAAATCATGTCTTAAAGGACTCTTTCCCAACTTTTTTATGCTAGGTAATGCCCATGTGACAAATATGTAAATATTCATCAAAGACCACATGTATATATTTTAAAGTTGTTTTCTTTTTCTCCTCCCCAGTTGTATGTACAGCTAGAATTTGCTTGCTATGTAATATTTTCTTCTGCATGGAACTTGGTAAGGCAAGGCCATTTGTCCAATATTTCAATAGCCTTAAGCATGTTTACCCTTTGCTTTATGAATGTTCAAAAAGTGTTTAAGTGATCAATGAAAAGTTTTCACTTTCTACTTTTGTTAATTTTATGATACAAAACTGACCAAATATTATTTCTGTAATTATTTGTTAAGCCATTATTATCATTTTTGTCATAAAATAGTGTTTCATTATAAATGGCAGTAATTCTGGGGCTGGTAAGGTAGCTCAGTGGTAGAGTGCTTGTCTAATATTTCAAGGCCCTGGGATCCATCCCCAGCCGTGCAGAAAAATTAAAATTAAAATTAAAATGACTGTGTTCTGCCAGGAGTCATTCAGATGATTTTTACAGGAACTCTCTGACTTCTCCCCTAACTATGTTCATTATGCTCTGGATAACAATGCTTATCAATAATCAGTGTTTATATTCTTAATGTTTCTTTTAAAATTTATTTTGGTAAAAAATTATCTTTGGTGGCTAGTTTGTGTAGCTTTGTGTCTTCTTATATTGGAGCAGTTTCAATACATCATAGTGTACTTTTAAATAACCAGAATCAAAATGAAGATTTTCAGTTTGAACTAAATTCAGAAGAATGAACCCCTTAGGTGATACAGGGGAAACAAACTCTACAGAGAAACCAAGGAAGGAGTTTTTCAATCAAATTTCTTCCACCAAAAGATGGTGACTATTTATGTACAGTGTCTGGGATTCATTTTCTACCTTTCCTAATATATGGGTTCATTGGAGGAATTGATTATGTCATTTCTTCTGTAAAGCAGAAGGAGTTTTTATAAGCAACAAAGTGACTTGTGAATGAAAGGTGTAATTTACTAGAAACACTTGTTGATCATTGACACCTAGGTATATCATTACATATGAATGATTGTATTTATGTATTTATTTGTTCAAAATTGTACATAACTTTTTGCCAAAAGTAATTGTCTGTAAAAGTACACTCTCCGGGGTTTGTAGTACTATTTAGGGTTACTTGGGTTGCCAATCAAGCTGCTAATCAGAATACTATTTTTTGTATCGATGTTTAAAACTAAAAATGATAAATAGATGCTGAAGATGTCTTTACACGCAGTTTCTTCACTTTCTTCTTGAAATGGAAACTGTTGATTGAAAGCACGATGCAAATGTACTGGACCATCTGTCATGAGGAAGATTACGGTTCCATAAAGCTGATTTTTTTAAACCATTGGGACAAATAAACAGAAGAACGTATTGGATTTTGTTGCTTTTTTAAATAAATCTCTTTGAGGAGATGGGAGTGTTAAATTTAGTCAGTGTCCAACATCTATCAAAATCTTGGCCAAGACTTCATGGTAAGTAGCATGTCAAATTATTCAGAGCTGAACAATTGAACTGTCAGCATGGAAACTATCTTATAAGTAGGCATCAGGTTACTTCTGAAATTACGAAATTAGTTACTCATGTGGCCCTTCTCTACTTGATGGAAGTGTTTTAACTAGACTGCACTAAGTCATACAGGTCAAACTCACCCAGAAATTCTAACTCCAGGAAAACACTATGTTGATAATATGATTGGTGAATTAGGGCACGTTAAATCTAAGACAAAAACATGACTCTTTATGTTTTGCCCACATGTATCCTTTGCAATATTGTATGTAAGTTTAACTGAATTGGAAAGGAGCTATTCAGGCATTCTTTAGCATAGACAAATAGATGCTAACTGCCAATGCCTGACTCTATAAGCAAGATACTAAGAGCTACTTACGAGGCAAAAGGGGAATTTATTATCAGTGTCGATCAAGCTAAGCAGTCATTTACTTTTTAATAGAAATTTAACTTTGGGTTTACTCCTCCTCTACTTTGGAGTTCAAAAGGTAAAGTCTATCAGGTAAGCTGAAATATGTGAGTGAACAATAAAAACAAAATATACGTATTGCTATTCCATGTGACTTTTTTAAAGCACTGACATCAAGAATGGTATACTCCAAGTATGGTTCCCTAACTAGTAATATCGTCTTTATCTGGGGACATTTTAGAAATGAAAATTTGGGGGCCCTGTTACAAACTGAAGGGTATAACTCAGCAGTGTTTAAACAAAGGCTGTCAGTGATTCCCACACAGGCTGAAATTGAGACTTGGCTGGAGCAAAGACTGACAAACTCTTGTGTGACTACAACCACCCTGTGCCCATCGGCTAAAAACCATTTTACAATGAACTTTTGCATAGAAGACCCTAACATTGAACCTCAACTGCATGAAACATTAGCCCAATAATAAGAATTACCTTCTTTTTGTTATGTAGCTACATATTGCAAGACAAAAAAATGTACTCAATTATTATTGCACTATATTTTGGATTCCATCAGTACAAAAACCATAGAAGTGTGTTTGCCCTGTTGTTATTTAAATACTTTCATATACCTAAAATTTTGTCTCTTGATTTGCAAAGCTTAAAATATTTATTATATGGCAATTTATTAAAAGAACTTATCAACCTCCTACCTACAGACATCTACCTAGAAACATCTGAAAAAGGTATTAACACACAAAATTTTTCCAACTCTTAAGTGAGAGTTCTCATCAATAGAGCACACTGGAATCATCTCTTTGTGTAGCCAGGAAAATGACAATGCCATCTGATCCAGAATTATATTAGAAACAAGCAGCTGCATGTATTTTTAAATATTTCCCTTTTCTCTCTCAGGGTGATTTTTAAAAATTGTAAAAGCTTGATTTTAATTATAACAATTACCCATGGTTTAATTAATATATTGCTTAAAGACGCATTGGTATCAGACCTAAGAGGGTGGGTTTCATATAGCTTGATTATCATAATTACAAGCTATCTATTTTCTCATTTACTTAATTGATTGTCATAGATTTCCAGATGAATTCACACTGCTGGAAGAGAACTGGATATGTTTCTAAGAGGGAAAAAAATAACAGAAAGAGGGCTATTTAGAAAAGTAATGTGTCCCGGCATATAATCCATGTAAGCATGAAAAATTGCCTTTGATAATATCTCCTTACCTCGTTGCTGGTTAAAATGGGCATTTTTGTGAAATGAAAAAGAAATGAATGAAAAAGTATTATTGATTCAACCACATCTGTAATAACACTGGCTCCACTGTCTCTTCGGCTGAAGTTGCCCTGCACTCAAGAAAAATTTTCCATTTAGTTTTTCTTATAGAATCTATTAGTTTGGTACATTATGTCGACTATTTGTTACGCCTCTTGCAATGACCTCAGTTCTCACCTGGAGGGAGCATAGCATAAGAAGTGATTTATTCTCTCTCTTAGGTTTATTCCAGAGCATTTATTCAGCAGTGGCTGCCTGATATAGCAGGTTGGGCAGAGTTATATGGGGGTGCAGGGGGTGTGAAGAAGAATTTTTCAACAAAAGCAAGGATGACCTCACCAGCGGGAGGTGAGGGAAAAAAACACTAGAGAATTTCTCCTATCACAAAGGCTTAAATCTTCAGTACCCAGTCCTTTGTTTTGTTATTGTTTAATCCTAATAACAGCCCCCACAGAACAGATTCTGCTGTTATTTCCAAATGACAGATTGGGAAACAGAACACAAAGAATATTGTAATGTACCGGGCAAATTCACACCCTCTGGCTCTAAAGGCCATGTTCTGAATCAATTCAATATGTTGCCTTTCAAAACGAAGAAATATACTCCACCATTATCCTAATGCTCAGGCCCCAATTCCTGTGGGGCTCAACGTCACGATTTTAATTGGTTTTTCAGACTGAACATTTTACCGCTATTTTAAAACTTGAGTTGTAATTTACACACTTCAAAATGTACCCATTTAATGTGTACAGGTCTATGAGTTTTGACAAATGCATATATGTGGTAACCACCACCGTAATCAACATACATAGTTATATCAAACCCCAAAATGTTCTCATGCCTCTTCTTAATCAATCCTCTCCTCCAGCCTCTTGCAATTACTGATCTCTTTCCAGACTTCTGTTTTACCTGAGATTTCCATGTTACATAGCAGTCATCATATATAAAATGTAATGTAATTGTTCCACAGATAATCCATTATAACACCTTCATGCCAATAAAGGGAAAAATTATAAAAGAACAGAATGGCAAAAGGGAAAAAAAAAAGATTCCAAATAGTACAAACAGCATGTCAGTACAGGTAAAAGACTGAGGTATGCTAAAATAAACCACCATTGATGTGATACTGTCAATGTCTAGTGAATAATAATAAGGTACAAGTCAAAAATTTGTAATCCCATTCTCTCAGTTTGCCCTAGCTTATTAGAAACTTTAATAGAGTTCTGTCCTTCAGAACTCCCATATACATTGTGGTAGAAAGAACAATCTGTAAATTCAATTATAATTGTTTCCTCTTGGAAGCCAACAGTCCTCTGGAGAGGCATCCGTCACCTGCTAGCTCATTAAAACGGCAAGTCCTTTCTGCACACTGCATTTGTCTCCACACCTGTGTCAAACCACCCTTAGATGAGTTCTTCTGGACCTGCTTGTGCACCCTTTGCTTTCTAAAACATGTGCAAGTTCACGTTTCCATTATGCAAAGACAACTTCACAGCTTTGTGATTCTCTGAAAATGTCATTGACGGAGGATCTGAGCTAACTTGGAAAGTGTGCCATTCACAACAAGATGTCCTTCCATCGGAATGGGAGACCAAGCCATGAGTAGCTCCGTGTGAGAGCAAAACATGATATTGAAAGGAAAGGGACACCCACAATCTATACCACACTTGCTAGGTTGCCACATGCCTTGTGATTACCTGAGAGTCTTGTTAAAACCCTGAGTGGTGGTTCTCAGGTACAACCCGAAGTTTTAATTTTCTGCCCAGACAGTGCTGAAGCTGCTGATCTATAGACTGCCCTTATCCAGGGGGATATCAAAGCTCTGATACTCAAGGCTAAATTCTAGACAGGGATGCCAGTATTTGTTAGGCATCTACTTTGAACCTTGCCAAAGGCTTTGATATACATTGCCTCTTTCTTCACAAAAACTTGTAGGAAGGAGATAAGCATTAAGGTAAAGCTTGAATCTCTAGTATAGTTTTAGGTTAGAAATTTGTTTTTCTTGTGTGCAGATTTCTCTAAGACCTAATAGGAGAAAATTGAAGTCCTAAAAGAGAGCAATACATTCAAGGAACAAAAACAACAGAAATTATTATAAAACATTACATTATTGTTTTGGTGATCCAGTGCCCAGTAACCCAAAGCAGTCTGGAAGGGCTGTTTCAGGAGTGGCTTTAGAGGCACTGCTGTGGCTGCGATGATGGCCTGAATCAGTTTATCCTAGAGTCATTTTGACTTTACACGAGAGTCAGAAGTTGTGTGGTGCCAGGTACGATGAATAAGGTGGATGAGGTTACACATAATGTTTTCGCTAAACCTGCCTTTCGATGAAATAGCTCAGCAACCGTGTTCACCATATTTTTGTATCACACCTTGTAAAGACTCACAAAAGAGGACTTCAGCACTGCTTCAGAAAGCAGCAAGAACGATGAGATAAAACGATGAATGATGTGTTCAAAGTAAGGAGGAATGCTTATTATCACACCTTGTAAAGACTCACAAAAGAGGACTTCAGCACTGCTTCAAGAAAGCAGCAAGAACGATGAGATAAAACGATGAATGATGTGTTCAAAGTAAGGAGGAATGCTTTGAAGTAGGTTGATAACATATGTCTTTTACTGTAATTTTTAAAATTTAAACATTTCCCATATATCTGGATTATACTCACAGTCACACCTACATATGCAATATAAAGTGGCCAGATCATTGTCATAGAACAAGACCATTTATCTGATTACTTGGGAGGGCGAATGACTAGGGTGCAGAAAAAGAAGATGTTGCTGGCATAAACAAACAAAACAAAAACGAGGCAGTCCCACCCACAAAAAGAATCCAGCATTTTATTATTGTCACCATGTGGGAGGTGAGGAATCCAGGAGTTTGAGTCTAAGAAACTAAGTGGCTTTCCAATGTAAAAAGTTGATAACTGCAGAGATAAATGTCTTGTGTCTCTTGGCTGCCGTCTGGTGATTTTTTTCCCCCCACTGTATTATATTATACAGCACTCAATTCCATTGGCAATTCTGGAAACAAAGTAGGGGAAAATCCCGGCTTCCAAAGTTACAATCAGCCAAACACCCAAGCTTAACAGGACAGTTTGTGCTTGGAGTAAAAAGACAAGTCTGGAAACTCAACCTGAAAACAAAAGATCTGGAGTCCAGACATATAACCCAAAGAACATGAAAAGAGTTGAGAAAACAGAGTCAGAATCTAGACAAGAGCCAAACATCCATCAGGAATATTTCATATGGAAGGACAACATACAGAGAACCTGAGTTTTAGGCAGAGTTCTCGCCATAGAATCCTTCCACCCATGATGAAGTAGGTTGGTTACAGGACCTTCACAGGGAGGGTTGTTACTTCTACTTTAGAATCTAGAAATATGCTAGATCGGATGTAGCCATAAAGAAGTGGTTTTTTTCTACCAAACATGAAACACATTTTGCGACAGCTTTTGGGGGAATTTTTATCTCCGAGGCTAATAGAGGCAAGAGAAAATGGCTCTATTAAAAAAGGAAAAGAGCCAACAATAAAGACAATCAAAATTTGAAAAAGTGACAAAGAGCCAGGAGCAGGGCACACAGGAAAGTAAGAGCAGACAGCAGTAATGCAGGGTGAGATGGGAGATGAAGAAAGAGTCACCCCTGCTCTTGGATTATGCTGCCCAATAGTCCTTTGCTTTTGCCATTGTGAAAAGTATCTATTATGACTTCATCCCACTTTCCATCAAAATCTCTTCCACCTAAAAGAGGAATGAGGGGAGGTGTTCTCTGGAGGCAGATATCGACCAAAGTTTTTTCTAAGGCGATATATTTGTCAAATCATG